GATAGTTCCAGTAAACCAGGTTATAAACCTAAAGGTTTTATGGGTAAGTCTAAATCCGATGGGGAAGAGCAAGAAAAAGGTGATGCTTTTATTGGTGCAGGAAAGGTATCATTGGAAGAAAGGAAAGATATTGCAAATTCTAATCATGGAAGTGGTAATACTCTCATTTGGCTAATTATGTTGTTATGCTCCTTGTTTTACAGACATTGGGAACTGATAATTTTCTTAGAGTCCATTTTGAACTTCGAGAATGCTTGGGAAAGTAAATAGAGGAAAATTGGAAGGAAACAAAATGTGGGGAGGGGGAGGGGTTAAAGTTGCTTCAAATCAATTTCAAATTTTTGTAAACTTATTTTATTTACATAATTGTATTTTAAAAAGATTAAATCTTCAACCAAATTTGAATTTCCTTGTATTTTGTAACGTAAACCCAAACATAAAAAATATTTTCCTCTGTACCCCTTTTCCTTTCATACCATTTTCCAAGTTCCAAATATATCTTAGCAAACAATTCTTTAACCACATTTTTACGAATTAAGATTGTTTCACGCTTAAGCTGAATGTTTTTTATGTGGTTATGTTTTTCTTCTTTTCCTAACAGGTGTTGTTCAGGATGGAAGTAATCAAGAGATCAAAGTGATATCCAACAAAATGGAAAGGTCAAAAACAAGTTTTAGTTCAAAGAGGCGGGAAGTGACAGACAAACTGCAAACCAAAAAATCTGGGGGTATAAAATCTGAAAAGGAAACTGACTTCTGGTGGTTGAGTCTACCTTACATCCTTGTATGTAATACGATCCACTATCTGCTTGCTAATTTGTTTTTACTTCTATTGTTTTTGTACTATGGAGTTCAATAGTTGTTTTATGGTTTGTTTGGATCCCGGAAATGATAAGGAATGGAACCCGGAAATGATAAGGAATGGAAATTAAATATTAAAAATTTCTTATGTTCAATATTAATAGGAAAATGAATAAGAAAATTATACTTCATCCATTCCCCAATTAAGTTCCTAGTTTGAAATCATGGGTTTTAAGGCAAAGTAACTTTTTTATTGGCTTTGTAATCATGCCCTTCCTCAAAAGTATAATAGAGAAAATTAATAATTAATGATGTACTTTTTCATAAGAGTAAAAGAGTATTTTACCACTCAAATATTACCATAAGAGAAGCAAGATCTTAATGTTGGGACGTCTCGAAATTGAAAATGAGAACTTAATTGTGGGTTGGAGGGAGTAAATGATTGAACTCTTTGGTTTTACATATCTAGTTTTTTAGTATTTATATAATAAAAGTAGTAATATACAATGACTTTGAACCTATCGTTTATTATCTAGGTTGGGTCATAATTACTAGTTCAACTTTGTGTTATTAAAATGAAAAAGTTAACCCTTGAGCTTTGGTTATTCTAGCAACTTCCCCATCATGTTAATACACATCTCATTTCTTTCCGTATAACTGTCAAATCTAAAAAAAACTCTAATATATCGGCTTTTAAAAGTCGAAGTTTTTCCTTCAGTATTATAAACTAAAACTCTGGGCTGTTATTCCCGTGTCATTGCTAATCGCGGGAGGAAAGTCTTTGAGAAAAGCATGGATGAATTGAGTCATGGCTTATAATAATGAATGTGTAGTGTTTTGACCTTCAAGAGATGATATGCTAGATTATTTCTATAAGTCTCTGACTTCTAGCTTTTGTACTATTCAAAAGTCTCTAAAAGCTTCTAGTTAGTATGTTTGGCATGACAACGTTCAAGAGTTTTTCAAAAAATAAAAGATCTTTTTTGAGATGTTACATGGAGTAGCATCTGAGAAAAGTTTGTGACTTTTAGTACGGAGTATTAATTAGTCCTAACGGCTTGCATACCAAAAAGGAAAAAAAACAGCTTGCATACCAAACAGAACTAAATCAAACAACCAGTTTTTTACCAAACAGCTACCATCTTTTTCTTTTAAGATCTTTTCAGTCACTAAAAGCCAACAGTTACTAAAAAGCTCACAAAGTATCTTTTTAGCTAGTTGTGCCAAACATACTAAGTTTCAATGAAATAAATATTAGGGGAAGAGGAAAGTTGTGAAAATAACCAAAGCTCAAGGGGCAATTAATTTACTTTTGAAAATACAAGGTTGAGTTTGTAATTATGACCTTATCTCAAAGAGACAATACTGTAATAGTAATTTTCTCTTATCTAAAATTAGTTCATTCTGAGTGAGCCTAGATTTTACTTTCCCCAATATTCTTTTCTTTCATTTTTCTCTATCTTCTCCCAATTTAATGTTTCTGGGATCCAACGGGCCTTAAAGATGCCAACATAGTACACTTCCAGTAGCTGTATAAAACATAGATTATGGAATCAACAAGGGTTAAGGTATCCCTTTTGTCCTATTTTTATATACTCCGTATGTCATAAGCACTCTTGAGTCTTCAAATGAAAAACTCAAAACTGGATGGTACCAATTAGATATACAGCTGTAAAACCTTATTCGAGTTTTAAAATCTTAAAGTTATTACTTTAAAAAAAATCTTTAAGTTATTAAGAAGTTTATCAAAGACTGGGTCAAAGTTATATTTAGTTGACCGCAGGTGAGACTAACCATGCCTATATAAGAGCACAGAAGGTGTAGTTGGTTCACTTGTGCTGTAGTATTACGACAGTTCTGATTAATTCTATACTTGTTTGAGAGTGTAGGGGTTTAATCTTAGGCTATTGGATCAATTCAGGAAAGATATCTAACTTCTCTGACCGTGAATTATGCTTGCATGTTGTAAAGACTAGACACGTAATATTGCTTTGTCAGAGTGCATATCCACTTACAAAATATGACAATTTGGACATTTTTTGCATACAATATAGTTAATACTTAATTTAGTCTCTTTACTTTACACTATTACTCCATTTGGTCTTTGACTCTTTCTTTTTAACTCAATTTGGTCCAGGATTATGTAATGTAGGCTCAATTTAGTTTGTCTAGTTGTTCTAATCAAGAAGGGTATTTTCTGTACGTAGGAAACTAAACTAGGTTCAAATTAGGTAGAGCAGCATCAATTTGAGTCTTAAGTTGGGTCTACATTTAGTCATTTAGTAAATGTGGGAAGTTATCTTTTTTTAGGCCTATACATGCATGTGCTAAGAGTGTGCTTGACTGCACCAGAGATATTGTCCAAGGTCTTGAATGAGATTAGGTGAGTAGTCCCAAAAGAATCTATACATGATTTTGAAATAATCGGCGCCCAACCTTATGAAGGAGTACAGGAATAATTCTCCAAAAAGTTGTGTATTAAATAACACGGAGGACCCTTGTATGTAATAATAATAATAATAGGTAAAAAATGTCGCCTTTGCAGATTATACAAATGCATGGAAGTCTTGGTGGTGAAAGACCACAAGAACCATTCTTCTCCATAAAAAGTTGCTCTGGTGATGTGTCTCATGTCGTGGCTTTTGAAGATCACATTGATGCCACCAATTTCTGCTATATATTGCAGTCCCACTACGACCATTTGGAAGACTTCGACTCTGAAATTGTAGTAGTTACAATCAACGTGAGAATCATCCAAAAGTCTCACATTTATTTACACTGAGATTGCATGTTTTCAAACCTTACTTCTGAGCAGTTCGATTGAAATTGAACTGTTGAGGTCCAGTTGCTCTTGTTAGATCTCAACTGTTCACTTTCAAGTGAGAGCGACATAACATGAATAGTAAAATTGTTTTTCCATGCTTCAGGAACAGAGAGTGAAATCGGGTATGGAAAATGTGATTGTTGTGAGGAAGGGACAGCTGAAGCTTTATGCAGGCCAACCACTTGCTGATGTGGAGATGGCCTTGCACAAGTTATCTGGGCAGAGTTGAAATGCGGCATCATAATAACTGAGAGGAACACTGGATACTGGTTGAAGACTCAATAGAATAGATTCTAAACTGAGGAGTAGTATTGTTAGAGATAAAAGTTTTGGGGAACCATATCTCAGTTTTGATACTATATATATATACACCATGTCATAATTCCTTGTAAGTCTGTAGATAGCCTAGGAAGATACCGTTCTTGTCAATTGGAGGATCTTGTAAAAATGCTAGCTGGTCATGTTTTTCTTTAGCAGATAAAATATTTTTGAAAATATAAACAAATATTTGGTTTGAAGGTTCTGGTTGTTGAGACTCGTTGAGTAAAGCCTCCCTCTTTGGTAAGTGTAATTTATAAAATTTATTGAAATGATTGAATGTGCCGAATTTCTAAATAGATAAGTCATTTTGTAAAATTCCTTTCAACTGAATATGTAAGTCAAAGACTACTTATCTTTTTTAATACACATAATAATAAGAAGGGACTATGCTACAAGTACAAAATAATGTATAGAAAGTCTTGCAAAATGAATGTTACAATACATGCCATCACCCTTTGATCGAAATTCATTTCAAACCAAATGAGGAAGCCAAAGACTACTTATTCAGCTGATAAGCATAATAAGAAAGGGACTTATTCAGCTGATAAGCATAATAAGAAAGGGACTATGCTATAAGCCTACAAGTAGTCAAGTACATAACAACTTTTTTACTGTTTGCATGCCATGAGTTCATGACAATATTCTGTTTTACAATGCATCGCGCTTCATCTTTTAATGATAGGCAATAACATGAGTAACATAGGCATTTGGTAATACTTTAGTAAGCCTTTTTGTACTTGTGACACTATCAACCTCATGTGCATTTTGTAAGGCTTTGGAAGTCTTTGTACTTACTATAACATTGTAATCAATCTATAGGGAAAATAGCCATTTTCAGTTATCAAACAGGTTTCAACTTATACGTTTCACTTGTGATCCTAATGTCCCAAAAATATTGTAATACGGAAATGACTAGCAAATTCTCTTATTAGCCTGAGTTAGGGAACTGGGTAATTTTTTGAAGATCTTGTTAGCCTCATTCACTGTGATTCTGGGTTTTTGACTCGTACCATCTATCAGCAAAGACAAAATACTTCATAGCCAAATTTATGTCTCAAAAGGCTCTCACAGAGGTAGTAGAGATCAACTACACATTGATTCCCCTAAAGCTATAACAACACCACACTTCTTTTTCCCTGAACAAAAACTGGATGCTTCTGGTTTCACTTCACTGTGAAGAAACCAGTTTCACCACGGACTGTGCATGAATTGCAGACAAGTTAGATTGGCAAAAGCTTTGCCAAACCTCCTGTTTCTGCTCCTCCTTTTCTGTCAGTGCTTCATACAAACAAACAATGATTCTTCGTGCTGCTTCTCTCGCCTCAGGAAGCCTGTCATTCAGCAAATCTACTGCAATTTGTATCAACGGAACCAACCCAAATTCCTTCATCCCTTCAAGCTCCTATCCATATACATATGCAACGTTTAGGATGTATATGGGTCCAATAAAAAGGTTAGGAATAAAATATAAAGAATTTTTTTATTTAATTTTGCTAAGCAAATATCTAAATCAAATTGTTGCGCAAATATCTAAAATAGAATGAGTTTGAGTGAGTGTGTATGTGAGTATATATATGTGCAATTTTCCCTAAAAATTTATTTGCTTTTTAGTCCATATCATTTTATATAAACAGACCACTAGTAATCATCATTCATTCCAAGAGCAAAGTCAGGTCAAAACATACCATCTTGGAGAAACAGTCTGAGATTGAGATTGCAGCTTTGGCTCTGACTTTGGGGTTGGAATGCCTCGCATAGGATTGGAGCTTTTGAAGGACAAGAAGGGGAGTCATGGACCCTACCATTACCTTAAGCGCCCTGTCGGCTTCTTCACACACGAACTTCTTGTCTTGAGATGCTTTCAGCAGTAGCTGCAAGAGCTGTAAAATCATATTGTAAAAAAAATTAAAACCAAGATTATCAACTAAATACAATCCAATTGCATGGGGTACAATTATCTTATATGTACCACTTGATCAAAAGCATCAGATATTTCGGGTTCAATCAACAACTTATCACCAAAGGCCTTGAAGATATCTGATGAAGCCATGATGGATGTCTTGCAAAGAGCACTTCTTGGGTTCTTCATTGCCTTCACCATAATCAATATTACCTTCTCCCTGTATTTATTTAAACAAAAAGTTAAATATATAATATTACACTTCTTGATGATTCCAATCAACTCGTGTTTGGTTCAAGAAATTGAATTGACTACTCTATTCCAATTCCAGAACTTAAACTATTGGAGTCCAATTCCATCAGCTTGTGGTTTGACTCAAAACTCGAATCCAAAATTTCTAACGAAAACATATTCTCCAAGCACAACATAAAAGAAGAATTTGAAAGAAACGGAAATAAGAGAAGGGAAGATTGCTCACAAGATTGGACCCAATAAAGTAGAATGGAACAGGGCAAACCGCCTAACGTCAATCAGCGATTCACAAACCTTCAGCCAGTCCTTCGATTCCAATCCTCCAACAAGACCCTGAAACTCAACACCATCAGTAACTATACAAGCGTGTTTCATAAGAATTAGGTAATACAAAGAGCCTAACTTGGATTTTAAGTTCTGGATCGGCGTGAGATTCAAGTTTCTCAGAAGGGAGATAATCAACCGAAGCATCTCCCGAAGGTGGCAGAGGGGCTTTGTTTTCATCATTCATACCCAAGAAATCAGTATGCTTCTGATTAGGGTTGTTGGTTAGGGTTGCGATTTTGGCAAGCTTCTTAGGCCTCTCTGGGATTACTGGGAGAGCGTTATCCAAAGATCTCAGTGCCATTAGGATCGAAGTTTCTTCAAAGACGCTGATAGCTTTAGTTTTCTTTCGACGAGAATCGTCGAAGTTATGAATAGAGCTCTGAGAAATGGGGAATCTATTATCTATGGGGGCGATCAGCGATGTTGCTAGCTCTAGTAGTCGTTCAGGTGTCGGCCCAACGGTTAGTTTTAAATTTGAATTTTGAGGGACCACTAATATGGAAGGGATACCCTTCAACAAATTAATATTCTAGAGAGTTTCTTTTTTAAAAATGTCATTAATATCATTTTTTAAAAGAAGAACCACTATTTATTAATAATAAAAATGATCAATAAAGTAATTCTGTTACTTAACCAATAATCAATAGTAGAAAAAGCATTGATGTGTGACAGAAAATAAACATATAAATCGGTTTCACCACCCACCGACAAAGAAATAATAGAAAATCTGCTTTATCCAGCCACAAGAAAGAAACAACTAGAATCTTCAGTTTGACCAGCTACTGGGAAGAAATTGCAAATATCATAAGTTTGACAAGCCACCAAAAAGAAGATCCAATCGAACGTTACCTTTCTCTCATAACACGGTGGTCCAGCTCAAGTGGTCGCTAACTCACTCTCCCTTATGGGAGGTCTCAGGTTCAAAATTCAATAGAGTGAGTTTCAGCCCAGTTCACTCCAGGCCCTCCAAACCCCCTCCCCCAGACGCTCCCTGGAGTAAAATAAAATTTTAAAAAAAGCACGACGGTGGATCAGGAGAAGGAGGAATAATTGGGATCTTGGGGTCGCCGATGTATGAAGTTAACCTCCCAAACAAATCAAGCAGTATGAACATTGTCATCCACCAACAATAAAATTTCAACGTTCGGCCGGTTTCACCGACGAGGAATACACAAACCCTAGACATTGCTAGGAAGAAACCACATAAAATAACTTGAAAATATTTATGAAAGAGATAAATTTTCATCTTTAGAAGGAAAAATTTAATTGAGAAGAAGAGAAGAAGGGGGAGACGACTAGGTTTACCTTCGCCGCTCCCCAAGTTGCCATATGCTCTCTCGTCCATATTAATATCATTAATTAATACAATACCCTTATCGCTTTTTCAATCCTTCTCTTAAGTTTCTTATTATTTCTAATCTCAAAAAGTAACATATAAGCATGTTTACGTTTTGTCAAATACTAATTTACAAGTTATCAATCTAATTTTCGATGAGGATAAGGAGCTTCTAAAGTGAAATTTAGAGATGTTCAATGGCTTATTTTATACGGTAATTTTGAAAATGGTGAAACCGGGAATTGAATTGTACTATTTGAGCCGATTTTAGTTAATTTCAATTTGTTCATTTCAGTTTTGTTATTTTTAACATGTTCTGATCAGCATTTGTCAATTCAGCCAATTTTCAAATTCTAAATAATAGACGGACCACATGGCGTGGAGTCAATTTTGGTTCGTTTTTTTATTCATTCTGACTATAAATTCAATTGAGCAAAGAAACCAATTGTAACATACATGTAAAACTACATTTTCTCTTAACGTAAATTAGAAGTTAATTAACCTCATTAAAGGATAGAGATGGGGTAAACACATATTTTTGCATTGCATGGTTGTAAGTGACAAAACATCAAACATCATTAGAGGGATCTATGATATTTTCCCTATAAATAATGTGAAATTTTAAAAAAAATAAGTTTTTTCGAGTAAATATGAGTGATTAATATTATACTTGGAAAATGTTGTCATATAAATGCTTGATAATGCAAGGACATGATGATATGAGTTCAGCATGATATGAATTTACTCTTGTTTTAGGAACACACTACATAATATTTATATTTTGAGTCTCAAATTGTTTTTAATTTTATTTTGGGATTTTTCTTTTATTTTAATTTCCGTATGTCGATCAAAGCTGTCAGTATTATAAGAGACATGGTGAATATTTAAGGACAAAATCATAACTAAGAGATCACAAATCACATTGACGCCATTAGATTTACTGTGTATCAAATTATTCAAATATGCCCCCACTGCAATAAGAGAATAAAAAGATTTTGCACAACGTACTTTGAGCGTGTTTATAATTTTTGCCCCATTTTCAAAACTACACGCCTTCAATTAAGAATTGTGAATGGTCTGGAGGGGTAGAGCTAATATAAAAAACAGTGTAACCGTCATGATTTTTTTTATTAATGCAATCAATTCGATTCCTATAAAAACATTCAAGAACCATTATGAAATTGAACCGATACTAAACGATCCAGCTTTTCATTTTATTGGGTTCTAAAAAAATCCACATCAATTAAAAACCAGCGGAGAGGTCATAGCTAGGGTTCCCAAGCTTACGAAGTAGCTTTGGCTTCGGCAAGGCGAGATCGGTAAGGCACGCATCAAGGTTTTAGGCGAGACGAAGGAAGCGACGGACAACCGGCGAAGAGACGAACGCTGCAAGAAGGCTAAACAAGGTCTTTTATGAAGTGTCGGGTAGCTTGGCAGACGACAGTGGTGAATCTCCACAGTGGCAGGTTTCGGTTGCTTAGGAAGATGAAGCAGGAGAAGGAGACAACGAATGACTATGTCAATCATAAGGAAGGTGGAAGGTCCAGGACCAGCAAAATTCAGTTCTTATGGCAGTGGTTTTTTACGAGCTAATTAGATTAAGGGATTGAGTGGAAGACTTTGCTTGATGTGGCATGGAGAATTCAAGATTTAGGTGTTGGAAGAAGAAGATGAAGGGTTGATGACCTGTCCCCCTCCTGAATCGCCGCCATGGAGGAGGACATTTGAAGTATGGATTCAGTTGCTCCATCAAACTATTTTATTTAATTCCGTTTTACACTTTTTGATTTGTTTAATTATGAATTATGTTGTTATCGCTATTTTGAACACTAAGGGGGTAGGGTTGTTGTTTGGTTTATTTCATTAGACAGACTCAACCGCTAATAGCCTATTTACTCTCACCGTTTCAGCGATTAGTTTCGCTCTATCCAGGGTGGAGTATTCTGTGTCTGCTCATGACGTGAGGGGCCGATGGACTTTTGGTATTGTTTTGGAGATAGAGATGTAGATGTTGGGACATGTTTGTTGCTTTGGTTCGTTTGATTTTAATATAAGCTATTTCCTTTATAAAAGAATTGCATCCATAAAGTAGCACACGATTCTCCTTAAATATAAAAAACGTCAGAATTTCAAAACACAATATGTAAAAAGCAAAAATTGTCAAATAGGCTCTTGTAGTATATCCAAAAATTAATTAAGGTCTCAAAACTTAAAAACACTCCATTAAGACCATGAACTTTAGAAAAACGGTTGAATTTATAATCTAGTGTAGGGTTATTTCGGGTTAACTAGTCACTTGCTTTATGTGGCTTATTTTATAATTTTTCATTTCATTTTTTCTTTCTTTTTCACCTATTATCCTCCTTCTTCCTTCTTCTTCTTCTTCTTCTTCCCCATTTCAATTCTCCCATTTCTTCATTTCTTCCACCCCTTCTTTCCTCTTCCACCCATAACCCACCCTCCTAAATCAACATGTTCTTTCTTTTCCCTTATTTCTTGTCTTCTTCCCCACCCACCCGTTTTTAATAGCCTTTGCTGCTGGGGTGCGGCTCGGGTAGGAGAGGGAAATCATTGGATGAGATCATGATTAAGGTAAGAGCTACTCAAGCACCTGCCAATACTTGCAACAAGACAAGTTACCTAAATCTGAACAACACTAACATAAGTCGTGTTTTGGTCAACTTGACCATGCATAAGTTCGGGTTGACATTGACCTTGGTGCCCAAGTTGGTAACATTCCAACAAGTGTCCTAAAACTGTTGGTATACGGTGATTGCCTCGACCTCTTTGGAGAGTCAGTGGCCATTCTCTCCTGTTCGTTCACCACCTTCAGAGACTAGAGATTGTTGGAGGACACACAGACGTGGTTGCGTGCTGCTCTGACAAAACTAGAACACCTGCGCAGAGGGACTTCTTGAAGCCAGAGGTAAGTTGCCGGTGAAGGCCCATATGGTGGAGAATTTAAAGGGCTTGTCTGAGCGTGAGCAACTCTCTATCCATCGTTGAGCATTCGGTGAAAGAAAATGGAGAACTACGCAGAAAAAAGCAGAGGGAGAAGGACACATAGTAGAAAGAAGAGGGATAAAAGGAAAAAAGTGAAAAGGAATTAACCTACTAAAGTATGAATTTGCCCATTTTTCTAAAATTCATGGTCCTAAATGGGTGGTTTTTAAATTTGAAAGTTTAATGACTTTTTTTATATCGTCACAATTTCTAAAAATGATATTTTGATATCTATTTCAAATTCGTAACTCTTTCGCTTGCTGTTCTTTGCTATACCCAGGGGTGTTTGGATCTGATTCTCAAAACTGATTCTGCTTCTTTAAGGAGCACAAACAGAAACTGGAATGTTTGGGTGAAATTCCAGAAGCACTTCTGGTGCTCTAATTTACTCCCAGAATCAGTTTTTTAGAAGCTGGGGGTACCGGCTTCTGAAAACTGATTCTGATTCTGCTTCTGCTTTAAAAAAGAAGCAGAAGCAGAATCAGTTCCAAACACCCCCTCAATTCCTCATCCTCAAATATTTTTTTGTCAAAAGATAACTTAATTATTATTAAAACCGAGAACCAGATACAAATTCGCCATATCAAAGACTACACTAGGATGAGTCTCAGATCTGGAGTCACTCTTAACAGTGGCCCAACTCACTAACCCCGCAATTTGGTAGATTCCATTAACAGCAATTGTGCACCTAACTGCACCTCCTACTAAAAGAGAAAACAAAAAAAGAAAAAGAGTCATGAGACAAAAGGGAAACATAAAATGAACATAATCCGATTTTTCTAGCCACTGGCAAGGAGACAACAGTTTGACCAGCTCCCACCAAAGGTTCCTCCTGCATAGCACTAGAGTCCCTGACTACTGGTGGTGCTTCTCAGACAGCACCGCCACTTGCAAGTTTCTTGGATTTGCCTCATCCACATCCATTACTTGCTTGAACCTCTTCCTCACTAACCGACTCAATGACTCTGCACTTCCTTGGTTCTTCCTGGGTAGTAGCCACTTCCTTACCTTTTGACAAAAGACCTTCCACCACATAGCTTTCCTGCTCACTTGTCGCTCTACCCGAGACCACTCCATCATCCAACCTGTCCCATGGTCTGTTGTTGTTGGGAATCAGCCATGTATTGCCCCGGTGCGAGCCACCCTGCCTCATATCAGCCCTGTGTGGATTAGAAGGACAAAAACAGTCTGCATGACCGAGGATCCCACACAGGAAGCTAAGCATAAATTTAGAAGTTACTCGTAACGAAAGTTTGTCTATATCCAGTTGTGCCCCTCCAGTCGGACATGCAAGCGCCTAGCCAGAGCCATAGTAATATTGATAGAGACTCTAATACACAACACAACCTTTTCTTTCCGCCAAGAGAGCATTCATCCACTTGCACAAATGATCCAATGTTATTGGCTATCCTACGGGGCCGCCCTTTCATCATGTAACCTAACGGTAAGTTGTGCACCTGAACCCAAAAATCCACATGGTCCAGGGAAATTTCAAGAGGTCCGTCACTACGCTCCACATGCTTAATAACCACAAGATTTTGTTTGAAGGACCAAGGTTCTTCGTTAATGACTTTGCTCAGATCTCCTTCATGGTAAAATTGAAATAAGAATTAAGAATCACCTATGTCATCAATTGAAACTCCCCTAACAGGTCGTCAAACCATGACCATTGTTTGGCTGAAAGAAATAGCACGAATGAGTTTGTCCGAAGCCACTGGCACAGTCGATGGATTATAAGCTCTTTCATTAGCCACATCAGCACTCCTTGTCGGATCAACTGCTAGCACCAAGCCCTTATTCCCTCCCTCAGCAATAAATATCATATTGCAGTTCTTCGCTATCATCTCCATGATAAATAAAACACAAAACAACAAGAAACAAGACCAAGACACAAGGAGCTGACCCAAACTTGACACACCCTTAACCTTTTGAAAATGAAAAATCAACACCCGAACTATGATCCACGACAAACAGCGACATGATTACTAACTCAGCCAGATCACCCAGGTGAAATCCGGAATAAAAATGCGGGACACAAGCCCGAAGCAAGAACGCAATCGAATCAAAATAAAAAATGAAAAAAAGGAATAATCTGGTAGCCTAGACACAACGCCGAATCACCCCATGGAAACTGTCATGTTCGCCGATCCTACATTGACCTTGAGAAGCCACACAAAGATCGCCGCCCAAGGGTGCCACTAGGTGTAACATCGTCTCAAAAAATTAAATCCATCCTCGAATGTCTTCTTGGTTTGATTTTAGTTTGAGTCTGAATCATATTATACCAGACCAAATCAGACCAGACTTTACCAATCATAAAATACACATCAACTAAACATTTATCAGAACAAAACAAATCAATTTAGACCGGAAAACTAGACAAGACCATAAAATTTCAGCATTCTAATTTTAAATACATCGTTTAAAAACAAATAAAACTAGTAATTTCTCATCCTGTCTCCGTCTCCCTCTCCGTGTGTCGTACTCCCGTGTTTCACATTTTGTGATTTTGATTAAAATTCCAATAATATCTTCAAAGGCATGGAGATATGGTGTTGATCCACCCTCAGCCCGTCTAGATTGGAGTATATGTAGTCGGCAATTACTGCTCATCCTCGAAGAATGGAATCAAAATCCTACCCAAATAGGCAGCAGCATCGCCGGGCGTACGGTGGTGGAAGAGGGGGTCCGAGCCCGTTGGAAATGGCTGCGACGCGACAACCACCTTCACTGCCGCAATCTCAGCTGCAAATGTCCGATAACGACCGGAGCAGCCGTGAGCTTCGCGCACTGGATTGCAACCTTACTTCCCTCTGCGATCACATCCAATTGGAGGGATTCAACAGTGGAGCCTTCTCCGACATTGTCGTTCAAGCCATGGGTTCCAGCTACCACCTCCACCGTCTCATACTCTCCCGGAGCTCTTACTTCAGGCAATAAACCGTCTCTCATTTCAATCCCATCCTTACTACACCTGAAGTATATTTAACTGTCCAGAGGCATTTTGCTTTGACATTTCTTTTTGCTTAATCCATGATACGTAGTTTAAAAAAGAAATGTTCTCTTTTTTAGTTGGTATCACCGTATTTATGATATACTCATATGCCCGCGGCCCGCCTATTGTGTTGTATCTATTTTTAAATGTTTAATTCAGTCTTTCGTGCTTATTTTACTTTTACGTGTGTTGATTTGGTATCTAGGAACATGTTGCAGGGACCTTGGAAAGAAGCAAATGCTCCGGTTTTGAGCTTGCATATAGATGATAGTAATGTCAACGGGGAGGCTATAGCGCTGGCTCTGGCTTATCTTTATGGACACCACCCAAAGCTTAACGATGATAATGCATTTCGAGTCCTAGCCATGGCATCCTTTCTTGATCTTCAGGCATGCAATTCAAACCACAAAAACAATATTCTCCCTATCGTTTCCATTTTCACTACCTCACTAATTAACTACGAGATTGATAAAATGGTCTAATAGCTGCATGCCTAAAAATAGCCTTTATTAGCTGAGAAGAAATTATGGCATGTTGGTAAAAGTAGCGTGAGTAAGGGGTTCTGCATATCAAAGTTTAATAAATTCACTTCCAACTGAATTCTAGGGTATTTCTTTTGCTGGAATTTACATTTTTCATTATCTAATAAAGATTTTCACAATCTGCCTCCCTTCCAGTACCAATTAAAAGTTCCCCTGGTTAAATTCATGTACTTAAAAGTGACCATAGTTCACTACTCCAGTAGTCACTAGGTTGACTGCAAGCATCATTAAGGATATTGTTCTTCAAAAGTTTATCTGCAACCAGAACCTTTATGCTCATCATTTTCAGTTAACGTTTAGTTTTTGGTTTGATTTCATTTGTCATATCTTGTGCTCTCAGCGAACCAGTGAGTCATGCTTAGAAATTACTAAAACATAGAGTATCTCTTAATATGACCTCTAGAATGATCTTTCTTTATTATGACCTTATTTATGACCAAACAGGCAAACATGCATTTGTTAGAATAAAACATGTTGGTTATACTTAGAAAACGTGGCTATGTTTTAGGAACATTGAGGACAGTTTTTTCTAGGTTGAAAAGTTTAGGGAACGATCATCATCATCATTATCTTTACCCCAGTTCCGCAAAAGCTTCCACGGTTCCACCTATGGTGGGGTAGGGGGGTCAGATGTACCCAGCCTTACCCCTGTACTAAAGCACAGAGAGACTGTTTCCTGATGACCCACATTGTAAATCACGTCGAATATTGCATGGACTGACTTCTGCTTCATAACAAAAAAGCGTAGAAAGTTTCGTGAGCCATTTTGCTTTATTCCATCATATTGCCAAGCCAAAAAATTGTGAGTCTTTGTCTCCATTGCAAAAGTTTAGGGAAAGATGAATAGTAAAAATGAAGTGTTACAATTTAGTTAACACTATTCCAATATACCAGTACTGAAGAGCTATTAGCATGCCAAAACAATGGGCTCATTTTCTATGCAGGATTTATGCGAAATATGCACGGACTTTATAATATCAGAGCTGTGGACATCAAACTTCTTAACTTACCAGGTTCCAGTTGCACTAAAACCCTTACCAATTAATCTCTATCCATCTTTTAATCTCATTTTTTTTAGTGAACCATTCAAAAATATGGTACAGGTGTTCGCAGAGAGTCAAGATTATGGGAAACATGGAGACCAAGTTAGAAATGCCTGTTGGGGATACCTTTGTCAATGTGGTGCCATGGAGTTAAAAGAGGTACATCACAAGATTTGTATGGCATTGTTCATTGGTTTAACAATCATTATTTGACACAACCTTCTCTCCTATAGATGGTAATTGCTGTACCTTGTCCTCAGAGGTTTATAAGTGCATCCAGACATCTATTTTGAGCTGATGTTGCTGCCTTTTATTTTTAAGTGAGGCAATATATTGATGTAGTAACCCATTACTGAAGGCATATGGTTTTAAATAGACTTGTTTGGTAGTGGCGTAGTGCATTGCTTTAGATTTTCATCTACTACTACTCAGATTAGCATTTACAAAAGTATTTACATTGTTCAAGACTTCATTTTTTCTCAAGAATTCTGAATGGTTCGTACGTGCTGTGATGGCAGTATTCTGTATACCATCTGATGTCCTCATGAAAGTCTGCGTTTCATCATTTCATGCAACTCTGAACTTTAACGAGCATATCTACTTCGTTATACTAGATCCATGTATTAAACTTTTTCTGTTCAATATTTTAATTGTTAATTCTGTATCCTGTGAATACAGGTCCTCCCTAAACTCTCATCTCAAACATTGCAAGCTTTGCTAACATCTGATGAATTATGGGTGCCATGTGAGGAGAAACGGTGAGAAGAAAAATTCATTTTTTTGTATGTGTGTGTGTCATTCCTCTTACTTTCCCTTTTTCCCTTTTAATTACACTCAGAAAGCTCAAAACATTTTTTTTTCCTTTATAGATTTGAACTGGCATTATACAGTCTTCTCTCTAGGGGTGCTGTTTGCAACTTGAATCAACATAGGCAGGGAAGCTGTAGTTCTGATTTAGGAACAACTTCACATTGTGACTCTGTTCGAGTTAACACTAAAACCTTATCTTATGGCAGTACTGATGAAAGGATGGAACCTGAATTGAGGAATCTAAGCTTAAAAGACGGGCAAGAAGGCCATAATACTGCTCATAATATTCTGGTTGAGCTTGCAGACTATGTTGTTGACTCCTTCACTGAGGTACATAATGAGCAACAGTTGCAAGAACCAGTGCGCATTGGACAGGCTTTGCCAAGTAACTCCTGTGCATATACTGCTGAAGCTAGCAGTGCTAGCCCCTCATGTTCTATGGTTAAAATGCCGATAAGTAGTGGTGCAAACAGTGTGGTTTCTTCAGAAGGGCCATCAGAAGAAGATACGTGTTATCAATCAAACCACGCATCTTGGCTGCCTGTGGACCAAAGCAGATGCACTCCGATGAACGATGTGCTTTTGCCCAGTGACTGGGGAAGAGGTAATGTGCCTTCTCTATCTTGGGGTGGTAGGATCGTGGGGCGAAGAGAGACAAAAACTTTCTTAAATGGACAGCCTGGAATCAGCAGAGATGATTATGATACCTTCGTCAATATTTTTGAGGGAGGTTCTCTACTGTATTGTAACATGTCTTTTGAGGCACTTCTTACTGTGAGAAAGCAGCTTGAAGAAATGGGATTTCCTTGCAAAGCTGCGAATGACGGGCCTTGGCTGCAGGTAAACCTGTTGTTATTTAATAGTTTAATACTCCCTCCGTTCTCCAATACTTGTCCCCTTAGGCTTTGGAATGGGTTTTAAGAGGAAAATAATAGGGATAATATAAAAGGTGTAGTGGGTTGTGTTTAAATGAAAAAGTAGGAAAGAGAATGAAAAAGTAGGAAAGAGAATGAGGGTATATTGGTATATTTATTGAAAAAACTTTCTAAAAATGGAAAGAGAGACAACTATGTAAGAACAGCCCACAATGGAATAAGAGACAAGTATTGAAGAACGGATGGAGTATATATCTTTCTCTTGATATTCAGAGATTTTTCACAATCGATATATTTCAAATACTTTCTGCTCCATTTGGTTATTCTCTGAATGTCTCAGAAGCATATGTTTCAGGAGAATACTTTTCTAATATATTCTAATCTGTGAAAGTTATATATTCTAATCATTGTAAATTGGAAAATTTTATATATTTATTTAGGAAACTTAAATAACTTGTCTTACAAATCTGGGAGAAGGAAAAAAATAGACAATTAGTTTGTTATACTAATTCGTCAAATGGATGAACATACACGTTCTCTGCTTTCCTTTGTCCAATTTTCACAGACCTTGAAAACGTTTCCATCTTTTAAAACAACTCCTGTCATTTTGGCAATCCCTCCAAATCTATAGTGGTCACCCGAAAACTTTGAAAAGCTCAGCACAATGTTCATATGAAATATGCTTTTAATTTCCACTGGAGGTTTTTTTATAATAACAAATATAAATTGTAAATTTAATAATTTATTGTGTCATACTCATAATCATGCAAATCAAACACTATTTATCTCTGAATAATAATGATACAAAAGTTATATTATGGGGGAATTTGACTTTGCACCCTAGTTTTTAGATGATATTGGACTTTGCACCCCATTTTAAAAAAACTTTGACTTTATTCCAATTATCTTTCAAACACTAAATCTATTCTCTAGAATAGCCTTTCCATCATTCTTTTTCTTGCGCTATAGCTTTGCTGGTGGATTTTGTCTCTATTTATCTTTTTTATTTATGTACTTTGTAAATGATCTTTATGCATACATATTGTAGATGCTCTTAAGCCAGCGAGTGCAAGAAATCGAGGCGGACACTTGCAAAAATTGCTGTCTTGTGAGTATGGCCTGTGCATGTAGGCAACCATTTGGATCTTCATGCAATGTTAGTGGGTATTACATGGCAGATCATGACCATGGAAATCCGTCGACAAATTCCGGAAATGTGTACACCAATGAAGGAACTGGTCTCTTTAGGCCTGTGCGCATTCATGTCAGGGGACCCCTTGATGGGCTAGTTGGAATCGGGCGTGGAAACACATTTGTTCCCGCTGCTCCTGCTGCTAGTCCGTCAACACGTTTTGTCTTCTCTCGGGTCCCGTTTGGGGTGGGTAATGATGATTCAGAAAACAGAGGGGACCACCATAACGTGGACATGACTGGGGATGGGTTGACTGCCTTGGTAAGTCTCAGCCAGGAGGGAAGCAATATGGTAACTACTGCTGTGCAGTTAGAGAGAGGTTATGAGGTGGATCTTCAGAGCAGGATGGCGGGATCATCAGTATCTGCAACTAATGTTAGTAGTAGTATATCAACACAAATGTTAGAATCTGTTGGGATTGAGTGGGAGAATGACAACAACTCTATATCTTTGGATGTGAAAACACCTTTAAGTCATTTCCCTCCATTTCGGTTTGGGTAAGTTATACTACCTCTGTCCCCCTTTAATTCCTTCTTTCCCTGGTTTGGGTAAGTTATACTACCTACATCCTAAATAGTCTCCATATTTCCTTTTATGTAAAGAATCATGTCATTTTCTTAACCACACCATTCAATTTCTTCAACTCCATTTCAAGTCTAGTGCGCTAAATTAAAATCGGGATGAAGGGATTATGTCCTTTGATGTATTCATTGTATTGTGACTTCTGTAACTCTGCTTGAAGCAATTGGATGTTTAGTGCATATGAGATTTTTTTAAGACTAGAGATTAAAGCATTAATATCTGATTCTCTTGGGTTAGTCTTTTATCACAAGTTGGTAGGGGAAAATTATGGAGTAAAATAGAGGGGAAACTTCGAAAGGAATAACGTGTGGAGTAGGATAGTATAACATTTTTCTAAACTCAATAGCTTTATTTTGGGTATTTGTTCGAACTCATTTTATCCTTTTTTATTATATCAAGGTTAAGAAAACATATCATATGTAAAAAATTTCAAAACGTTAACCATTTTCATTTCCATGGCAAAACCAAGGCCAAGCAAATAGCTTACCTTTACACATTTGCTTCCCTTCCCTAGCATTTTCCAGAATCCTAAAACACCCTTTATGATTGGGTATAAGATTGGTTATTGTTAATGTTTGCATCTCAGGATTTTAGTAGATCTATCATTGTATAGGACATGTCTCTTTTTAGGAGATCAGTATTCACTATTCATCCTTTTTAGATTGAAGTTATTTTCAGTGTTTTCTGAATTTCTTGAAATGCTTGCACAGGGTTGAGTTTCAAGACGTTCTCAGGCTCAATGATGGTCAAGTCAAACATTCACCCGAGTTTTTCTATGCTGGTTCTTTGTGGAAGGTATATATTCTTAGGTTTTGCGCATGTCAGCCCTCCTTATATAATAAGAGGGCTAACCTACATAGTACATACAACACAGGTAAACCGTAAATGGGCCCTAAAACAAGGTTGGCCCATGTTAACGTTTGAAGTCTGCCATTAGATTTATTTTATATGCTCCCCCGTTTTATGCTCTCCTTTCATACTTCATTAAATGCTCAATTGAATAACAATGGAGGGTGTTAAAAACGAGATAAAGGATTGGGTTTAATCGGGGGAAGACCAGGAGAGTGACAGTAAAAATAATGGCAGACTTTAGTTGAGGAGGGAGAAAAAAATTATTGAAAATACTCAAAAGTAGTTGAAGTGATTTTTTTGTACAATGTAATTTGGTGGTGGTATTAAAAGAGTAAATATTACTGGTATGAACGGTATATGTAGGAATAAACTCAACATTTCTTTGGCTTTAATTTTGTAGGTCACCGTCCAGGCTTTTAGTGACGAAGACCTGCAAGGACGCCGTACACTTGGTAATAATTTTTTTGACTCATTGTGTGAAACTGTGAATTGAAAAGCCATGTGAGTATCTTCTTAAAGTGTTTGCCATTTCGCAGGGCTTTTTCTTCATCGACGTAAGGCAGAGATAACTGACCTGCCTAGAAAGGTGATGTTTTTTTCGTGCATGATTATAACATTTAAGGCCATTGTATTCTGAGTTTTTTTATCCGCTTTATACCAATACTTTAGATGTCGTATAAAGTAATTAGTTTTGTATGAATAGTGCTAGGATATGTTTATGAAAATGTATTTGGAAAATTTCAAGAATATCCAGTTGTCTTGACATTGTTTTTCAAACTAGAAATACAGCAACAAATATTTAGAAGCAATATTTCTTGGTTTTATACTGGATATATTTAAAGGAATATCATTAACCCATATGTGTGTGAGTACGGTAAATTCATAGAAATGTTGACAGGTATATCTTGATATTTATGGATATTTCGAGCATTATTTGGCAGTATGTAAAATTTAGTTCTGTTTTTGAGTTGTGCGTGAAATATACGAAACATACATAAAGATTGAAATATTTCAATCAATATTTGTATAGATTAACGCCAGTGACTTATAGGGGTGTTAACTGTATTTATTTCCGATTATTCAAGGATAACAAACATATTAATCGATAAATTTAGCTACATTTGTGGTTTGAAAAAACAAAATTTCAAAATATCTAGATATTTTTTGAAATTTTCATACACCTTTCCATAAGAATACCCCATATACGATAGCATATATGATTACAGTATTACACACATATACATGTGTATATACATAGACACTTGCATACACATGTGTGTATATATGTTATGTATGTACACCTGTATTACCTGTATCTGTATATACATGTGTTGTGGGGGTGTGAATAGTTCATATTAGATACAATAAAAAATCATTATTTTCATTAGAATATAAAATCCACTAAATGAAGATACACTTTATATTGCTACCATATTAATTATATACAAAATCTACATGGTTGACACTTTATAAAAGGTTTCCATATTAAAGAATTGCTATCACATTCCTCAAAAAGTATCCGTATGAAAAAAAGATACTACGTACAAATTAAAGAATAGATATCAATTTGATAAGAAACTAGCTATTGGTACCAATAAACCCCTGAATTGTGAAGCAATGTTTTCGAAGTATAAATATTTTTTATGTTTCCATTTACCTATTCCAGGTGCATGTGTATGTTGATTCTCGTGAAAAGGTCACTGCTAGGTATCAGGTGAGTCACCGTATTAACAATTACTAGACAGGTATCCAAAAATGTGGTTAACTTTCAACAAAAAACTCTGATTGATACTTAGCTTTACTAAGTGTCTTACTTGGCACCTAAATTAAGTGCAGTAACTCTACTAACCGTGAACTTAAAAATGTCAATGTTAAATAGTATGCAGGCGCCTCAAACACAAATGAGATTAGGTACATCATACATGAATTATATGCTATGGTAAGACATGTTACCATTCCATCATTTGCAACGGAGCCAAAGATTCACTATTTTTTGGCTTGAGAATATGATGGAATAAAGCAAAATGGCTCACTAAACTGTCTGTGCTTTTTTGTTATGAAGCAACGGTCAGTCCATGTAATTTTGGATGCGATTTTCACTATGGGTCATTCGGAAAGAGTCTCTTTGTGCTTTTGTACAGGGGTAAGACTGCGTGCATCCGACCCCCCTTACCCTACCGTAGGTGGGAGCCTTTGCGGCATTGAGGTAATGATAATGATGATGATTATGATGGTAAGACATGTTAGTTGTTACCACAATAAAAAACATACGAAGTATTATAAAACCAGTTTTTTATAGCCTTAAACATATCAAAACTTTAAATTTATTATGTTCTTTTTTTAACCATTGCATACAGTTATATTCAAGTGCCTAGTTGTGTTTGTGTTTGATATGCCGGTGCCCGCAATCACTTTTTGTCCAATGTCAATAAGGAATACTTATGAAGTACAAGGTCATTTTTTAGTTGATGGTGCGCTGAATAAATAGAACACCTTATAGAGAGTTTAGGATCAATCAGGGTCTTTCTGTTGATAAGCTCAGGGTTTCTTTTTGGGCAGCTGGCCCATTATCGATCCCTTATGTATATTTCTGCAAGAAAGAATACTAAGAGTGGACAGTGTTTTAGTTGATATGCCCATGCAAAAGAGAAGTTACGGTGTTTGGGAGCTTCAAGGAGACGGGGACTCTTCTCCCTAAAGCTCCAAAGGGGTGGGGTTGGCGTTCAGCTTTGTTCTTTAATGAACTTCCGGATCTTCTACAAAATGGGTCACTACGAGTCGCTGCTATTGTACAGCTCATTTGATGTATGCTTTGCTGTATTAGGTAATGTTAAAAATTAACCTGTGAATCTCAAATTAGCTTATTAGCAATTGATTTTGATATAATGTACTTTTCTGCATTTTTTCAGATGGAATTTCGGCTAAACCTGTTGATCTGCTTCACATGTATGAGATGTATATTTTGGTCCGATGTGATGGGAAAACGAAGCAAATTATGTATATACTTTCCCACTTTCCCACTGCTTGCTGCATTGAGTGCATACTCCCAGCCTTATTATTATTAGGTAAACAAATGATAGATGAACTACCATGTTGCACCTACTTCATAAGTTCACAGCTCACATTAAGGATGGACTTAAACTGGTTCCTGTCTCCTAAAGAGCCTGAACCTGCCTGACAATTCTGGAAATGTTTAGGAGAAGGTATAGCCATGGCACTGGACCGGAAAAAGCCCAATTACTGGCTCTGATTCTAGAGCATCAAGCAGCTAGTTTCTCGTTCCGTTTTTGGGCTGTAACTGAAACTGTCTGCTCCTAGCTCATATCCATCAGGACAGAGGAGTACAACGCTTTGGTAGTCCATCTATCATTTTCCTTGTTATTAATGATGATATTGTTTTTGTTATTACTGTTATTGTTGCTGTTGTTATTATTGTCATCATTATCATTATTAATGTGCCTAAATTTTAGTATTCGCGGATGAATTCATTGTTTTGTATACCCCGAGTAATGGTTCATTAGTGCTTTAGTTTACATCTACCATTGTATTAGAATTAGCACTCTTTAAGAATCGACATGCCCATTATCAAATCGTGAAACCAGTTTTGTCAGTCTCATTGACATCTCATGGATTTACAAGAACATGAGGATTTATACCTGTATTTGTTAATCTGGCCATAATAGTGTGTGCGCTTCTGTCCTACACGGGGGGGGGGGGGGGGGGGGGGGGGCAAGAATGTAATCAATCGTGCCGCAGTCAAATAAATATGGTTTTGGACTTTGGAGGCCTAAAGAAATGATAATTACAGTATGGGACTGTTCTCCAAAGGTTAAGAAATGTAAAAAAAAGCATCACCTCCATTTTGATTTGATTCGCATTGTTAACCGTGTTTACAAATGTTTAAAATTTGGTGCAAGAGTTAACCGTGTTTACAAATGTTTAAAATTTGGTGCAGAGTGAGATAAGAATCTATTTTGGGAAAGATTAAAACAAAATGACTACTCCAGTTTTATGATTTTTATCTCTTGTTTGCTGTTGCTGCCCCTGGCAATCCAAATTGGGCATGTAGCGGGTAACCGGTAATCTGCCCCCCTCCGCTCCCTTACGGCCTCACCCATCCAAATTGGGCAGGGTAGCGGGTAGCGGGTAACCGGTAACCTCTAACTTGCCCCCCTTGCCGCCCTTACCCTATCCAATGTACACAATGGTTCAGAAAAAGAGCCAAATGTATTCATGAAAGTTTGTGATTATTCATATTTAAATGAGGCTAATCTTTCTTTAATAAATAAGGATATGCATTTATAATATTTCATGGATGCGTTATATTTAACCTATCTGTAAATATCCAACAAGAAGTGGATTTCTTTCTTTTTTTGAAATATTATTCATCTCAATGTGAGGTATATATGATAGAGATCACTATACTACATTGTACTACATTCATTATATGTACTTGGAAAGAGTATGTGTGATATTGAGATGGGATAAGTTTGGAGGTGTCTGTAGCTCTTTATTTACTTCACTCAAAGTCTCAACATTTACTAACTCTAGATTTACCTTAACTCTAGCTTCCAAGTTCCAACCAAACACTCTCAATTCCTCTACTATTCCAATTCCTTCCGACGAAGTAATTCCTCCCCTATTTGATAACCCCCGGAGCTTAAAGAAGCAAAAACTAATAAAGTGACAAATTTTATGATTTGTGCAAAGAATAACATTTATTTATAAATAAAACTACTCAAACTTTTTACCATTTTCTAAATATTACTAATATAACATAACACTACTTCATCAGCGTGTGTACGAAGAAGAGACAGATAACGGTTATGGAAGATCAGAGTATGATAGTCAAAATGAGAAATACCGAACTAAGTATTGATAGTAATGTATTTGAAGTTTTTTATACTTACGTTTCATTAAGGATGTAATTTGCTGGTCTGGTCTGGTCTGGTCTGAATTGGTCTGGTCTGGTCTGGTAAGGTCTGGTTTCTTTGTATTTTTATAACTATCCAAGTCTGGTCTGGTATGATGTGAACTGGTCTGGTCTGGACTGGTCTGGGACAAATTACAGTCCAAGTAAAAACATCCTAAATCTAAAAATATGGTAATTTGAATGTAAATTTTGCTAGACGTGTTTTTCAAAACATTACATGCATTTCACATTTTTGGCTGTCTAGATTCCGCCTCAGCTTCGGATGTTTGCGACATGGCCTTAGGTAATCCACATCCATAGATTATTTTTGGGATCATTTTGATGATGTGGAAGATTTTTTTTGGGATCATAGATGGGGAGTAGAGATTATTTGATAAAATAATCTGGTATCAAATTCTAAAGCTAGATTATTTTGAGATTATTTCCAACTTTCAAAATTATTCTGAAAGTTCAAGGTTCTTTCTCCCAACTTTCAAAATACTACGTATAATTAAGCTTACATTTTGTGTACGGCTCTCTTCAACATATGTTTATCTTTTTTTAAAGAAAGCTGCATACCTTTTTAAATTTTCTACCGCTGTAAATGTATACTATGTACTCATTAATTTTTTTTATATTAAAATAACATATTCTCCTATCATTACACGCAAATACGGAGTAGGTAATATTAATGTGACTTATTTATTTATTGATTTTATGCATGTGTTGGTATGTATACATACATACACACGCATATATACATGTATATTATCATTATTATGTAGTAATATTTACATGCATAGTGTGTGTACGTATGTAGTATGTACTAGTTTATAAGTGCGTGAATGCATTGAAGTGAGATTTTGAATTTATGGGTGTTCCATAAAAATTTGGATAAATGGAGATCATGGTTGATGACAAGTTGATCATTTTTAAGATTTTTTATGTGGCAGTGATGTGACAAATATAAACCATAAAAAACCGTAAACTTGGGAAGCATGAATGTAGATGCTCTTAGGTATGTTTTAACCTTGATGGTTAAGAGTTGCAAATTTATTACTCCGTAATTAAGTAATCAAAAATTAACAAGTGAAGTTGGTAATTTGTCTTTTTGTAGTTTTGCAATTTGCAGTAGTAGTTTACAATATATATGATACGGACTATATGTTATATCTACTCCAAGTAGTTAGTCGACTTGTTCCTAACCCTACATTACTACGGAGCATATATTATTTATGTTCTGTTTATATACTACGTATCTCTTTATATATCTACTCTTTATGTTCAAAGATTTCCGTGGATAAATGACACAGTTTTTTAGGAAATTTGGGTAAAAAGAAAGGAAAGAGAAAATTTAGGAAAAGTAAACATATAAAGTGAAAGTAATTAAAGAGAGATAAGTTGGGGGAGAGGAAATTGTGAGACTTGATATGTAATGAGTAGGAAATAAAAAATTGAGTAAATGTGTAATTAAGAGAGTAAATTATTTTCTAAAATGGAATGAAAAACTTTAAATGGGACACCCAAATAAAGAAAGTAAGAACCTTTCAACCGGAAGGATTAGTATATACCTTGAAACAAGTTATTATTCATGCACATTTGTATGTATATATTACATCCGCCCCGTTTAAAGGTTCTCATTGCAAATTATTTAGACAATAATTAAATAATTAATTCAAGTATATTTTGATAAATAATTTTGATGAATATATAATATAATGAGGCCATTGATAATAACTTTGATGTTATAGATGTATTAATTATAATATTTGATGATTAAGTTGTTATGTAAGCGTATTAATTGTTTCTAAAATAGAAATGAGAACCTTTATATGTGACGTCCAAAAGGAAAGTTGAAACTTTAAAATGGAACGGAAGGAGTAATATTTTTCCGAATATTTATACTTTTGTTAGATGCACATTTAACCCCCTTAACTTTAGCTTGCGAAATTAAATTTACAATTTTATATGCATAGTAATATTCATACAAATTGCAACGGCTTAAGAAGACAAACTAAACTTTTCAAAAAAAAGAAGAAGACAAGCTAAATTAAACTATATCAGTTTAGTTTAGTTTTTGTTTTCATGGAACAAATAGATAGTAGAAAAAAATAACGAGGTACACTTAGTTTAGGTTCTAACTATATTTGAAAGATCCTATTTGATAAGTAAAACCTTTTTAATATTCTAACATTAATACACATAGTATACTCACGTATTACATAAATGAATAACTAGTGTATATATGCTCAACATAATATTATACTCATGTCCCTTACACTAAAAAATTAATAGTGGTTTCTCCCACCTCTGCACAAATTTCAATCATACATTTCTTACTTAATTATTTCCCGTGCCAGACAAATTTGGTGAAGTTTTGAAGGATGAAAGAAGTAGTATTTCTTAAGAATTCATTTTCATTTTAAGACTCATGTAGCTAAATAAGGAAAAACTTATATAAAAACAATAATATAGGCGGATTAGACATTTCATCATCAACTTTCTAATCAACTTTTTTTTATAAGCACATAATATTTGCTTCAGTTTGGTATTACTCAGACCGTCATACGTTTGATCTACCAATATCAATTTCCAGAGCACTTCTATTTTTTTTTTTAAGCAAGAGCACTTCTATTATGATAACTAAGTTTTACTATATCTCATTGTGTAAATTTATAGTTTGGTACTTTTAAATGTCATATTATATGTAGAGGGCAGTTCGTATCAGGCCGGCCTGACAGAAACCGCCGTCAGGCCGAGGCCATTTGGGGACCTTTCCGGTGAAATTTTTCAATGAAATTTTTTGAGCATGTTCTTCATCAAGTCTAGTTTATTCATACCAAATCTCAGCTAAAAATTCAATCGGGAAGGCATTCAAATAAATTCATTACAAAAATTGTGCTTTATATATATAAGCAGCACCGTTTGTTTCAACAATTTATTTGTCTTTCTTCCCGATTGAATTTTTAGTTGAAATTTGGTATGGATAAACTAGACTTAAAGTCCGAGGGTGTGAAATCCCAAAGAATAAACTAACCCAACTTAAATGAGATATGATCGCTTCTTTAAGGATGTAGAACATGCTCAAAAACATTCATCAGAAAATTTCACCGAGTAGGGCCCCAAAAGCCCTCAGCCGGACTGCGAGTCCTGTCAGGCCGGCCTGACACGATCGCTACTCATTATATGTAATGAAAATAATTTTTTAGTTTCAAATAAAAACTATGTGGAGACTAACACAATAGCGAAAATTTCGCTCCTTGATCATAAATCATGGATCCATCCATGCCCATATAAACTAAGAAAAGGAAAGAAGCCAACGAGCACCAAGGAAAGATCCATTTGGCACAGGTATTGTACAATTAATTGGAGTTGCATGAGCCTTGTGTCCTATTACTGCTAGTCGAGTCTATATAATATTTGTAAAAAGGTTAGTAATAGTTTATTTATGAATCTTAAGTATGACCCTTTGATATTGTAACCAACACATGATTTTGTCACAACCTATCTCATGGTTGGTTGTATTAGTTGAACTTTGTACACATAAATGCTTTCAACTACTGCAGTTTTTTCTTTTTCAGTTCAAAATTTGCAGACTATATGTTCTTGTCTTTCACCATGATAACTTTTAGAGCAGTAAATCAGAATGCCTTTCCTTGTTAGCATCTCTTGCTGCAGTTAGGCAAGACACTTTTC